CTTTTTTGTCATATAGCAGAATTAAATAACAGAAAGAAGAACAGAAGGGAAACCTCCCTTTCTTTCCTTTTTTCTTAATAGGTTGAATTCATAAGGGGCCTCCTGGAGCCATCTCTGGCCCTCTGACCTCAAGGAGGGGCCAAAATAACTTTCACAGAAAATCCATGCCTTAGAAACAGAAGGATGTCATGTATTATAACATACATAAGTATCTTTAACAAAATAAAATAAAGCACACTCATCATGTTCAATTTTAATCAATAAATCTTTATTTTCATGTTAATTAAACCATTTCATCTTTAGGAGAAATTAGTGAGAAAGTGGCAAGAGCTAGAATATCAGCAACTTTGAGAAAATTGAGTCACCTTTTTGGAAAAAGGAGGAAATGATGAGGAGAAAGCACCAGTGCCAGAGACTGGCTTGGAGAGGTTGTTTTTTCCCTGGGATTCTGGGAGGTGATGAGCTCTGACCACTGAATGCTTTACTGTCTTGGCCATTGGTTCCTTTCTGGGCAAGGAAGAATGCTGGGTCTCCTGCAGAGTTTTATAGGCATCTGACAGTAGTCCGTGGAAGACAGCTGTCCTGGGGCCCACAATGGGAAGTCTGTAGTGAATGTTCTCTGGAGGATAGTACAAGAAGAAGGAAGAATAAGGATTGCTTAGATTCTATTTTTATAGAAACTCAAAATTACCAAGGGCTACCAAAGACTTCTTCAATCTTATGTAACATTCAAAATTCACATAAGAATTTCTTTTATTAGAACCATCTTATCCCCAACAGCCTTTAAGCTTTTACAAATTTTGCTTAAAAAGCCAAAAAAAAATGTACCTAGAAATAAAACTCAAGTGGTGAGGCATCACTGTCAATTAAGGTAAAAACAAAGAGAAAACATGTCTGGAGTTATAATATTAGTCAAAGAGAAAAGCAGATTCAATTATCGGTAGACTTTTCAGGGACACATACAATTTCATTTTTTGAAAAATAAGCACTGTGCTTTTATAAAAAAGGTTATAGTAGAGACAGAAAGTATTTTGCATTTAAAAAGGGATCTTACTTTTGAATGACTTACTTTAGGATTCTTTAAATTCCTTACTTTCCTGACCTCTTCTTCAAATATGATTTGATATGTATAAAGTTGGTTAACATTTGACTTTTTCAGAAGACAGCTTGCTGAAGGACAGTAAATCAATGCATGAAATAACACCTTCCTGCTGGGGATCACTGAATGACTAATGGAATTGATTGGAGGCCTGAATTCCCTCCTTGTTCAAGGCAAATGAGAGCCGGAGATGTATAGGATCAGAAATCTAGGATACAGTTAGTCTCATCACTGTAATGAAAAGGAAACAAGATCCAGGGTGACAAGCACAAATGGACTGACGACAAGAACCAAGATCTCCTTAATCCTAACTAACTGCTCTTTGCACTGTATCACACCACTATGCCAGGTGGTTGGCATAAGTCAGGTGGTTAACATCAATACTATTGTTTATTAAGACCAAGAGCTTGCAGGTGTCATGAAACTGAAGCCAAAGGAATCCCTATCACTTGTAAGATAAGTTCTTTCCATTAAATTAGTTCTTGTTAAAAATTATATAAGGTTTGGCTGAATCTAGAAAACTGTTAGAAATCACTGTTGTAACCAATTAGTTAGCAGTAGTGTTCACTGAGATGAGTCAGTAAGTGACTAAGTAGTATTTGTAGCATACTCATAGGGAGCACAGCACAATTGGGTCACAACTTCAGCACTAAGCAACTAGTGTTGGAATATTGATCTGTATAAACCTGCGGGGCTGAGATAGGGCCAACAGTTTTTCTGGGTTGATGAGGGTAAAAGTTGATTGTGTTTCTAGCTCTCAGTGGGGCAAGATGCTGCTCTGGTTTTATAAGTAGGAACATGGAGAACAAACCCATAGAGAGACACATCCAGACCCAGGTCTCATTGCTTCTGGGCTAGTGCTTTTTCCAAACCTTCAAGAGAAAAGCCCAGCTCAGCAAGGTAATAACTAATCAATAATAGATCCACTAAGCTTCAGCTCTCAGCCAGCTCTGCCATCACTCTTCTTTCAGCTTTATTTCCAAAACTGCTTTCCTGTGTTGGACTCTATAGGCAAGAACCACATCCATTCAAGATCCATGCAAGAATATAACATACTGCTTTTATGCACTCCAAGCCTAGATCTTACATTGCTAATTGAAAGTACATTCCCAGACCTAGTAAATTGGTGACAGGCATCTTGTTATGTTGTTGTCTAGGGTCAGAAAATAAATATTCTTGATGAGACAATGGCATAGAATAGTGTGTGTGTATATATATGTGTATGCGCACACACGTGTGTGTGTAATCCAGATCCAAGGGAAACTCAGAATGAGTGTGTGAACGGAAACAGATAACCATGAAACTAACTGCACATATTTATTACCCAGTGTTCTCCTGGCTTCAAGATAATGAAGTGGTCACAAACCAGAGAATAGTAGAGTGGGAAGCTTTTGCAGAGCAGATGCTCTTAGTTTAGGCTCTTAGTTCTAGGTATTTTTAGACACATAAGAAGTGGTTCATGGGGATTGGTAGCCTTTTGCTACATTAAAGTGGGTATCTTCAAACTTCAGCTACTACTTGAGCCTCTGGTCCTCCCTTTTGGCACCCCCTCAAGACATCTTTTCTATCCTCAAATTTCCTTTCTAGATGAGTTCTCAGTTCAATTCTAGTTCTGGATCCCTTACAACTTCCTATGATAGAGCTTAGATTTTATGTGTATGAAACGATCTTGATTTTTCTTATTGCACATATCCAATGAAAGAAAAGCTTCAAGTGGCTTCAATTAATTTGGGAACAAATGAGAAGATGGAAAACACCACTAAAGTGATAGTCAGGGCTTACCTAAACCTTTGAGTTATATTACCCAAAGAATGGCACACCTTCACCAACCCATTGTTGGCTTCTCTAAAGGATAAGACTCAAGTCAATGCTGAAGTCTGAGATAGATCCACTGCCCTTGTCTCTCTCACCAGGAAGTGAGGATAGAATAGCATTGGACAGCTTCTGGGAGAAGGTAGGTATTATAGGGAGGCGGGGGTCGGGGAGGTGAGAGGTTCAGGGCCTTAGTGAGGCCATACTAGGAGTGTGGTGATAAATTTAAAAATTACCTTAGGGACTAAAACTTTCCATTCTACTATCATGGGTACAGTATGTCTTACACTGAGAGTATATGAATGAAAACAAACCTGTTGGGATGTCATTGCAGGAAGACTGGGCTTGGCTTTGATGAGAACTCCTCGTTCTGATTGGAAGAAACAGGAAAACACATTTGCCAATTGGCCAGAGTTAAAAAGGAATTTTAAACACAGATGGTCTCTTTACTGCAGCACCTGTTAACCTGTGATCAGGCCACTTTACAGCTGGGTGAGATAACTGGTGCAAAGGCTATGAATTCTCAAGTTTTTTTTTTTTTTTTTACTTAATGGCATTTTCATGGGTTTTGATCAAACCTTCATTTAAAAAATGCTTCACTGTCAAACATTTATGGTCTGAAAATAAGAGGGATTAAGGAAAGACTGCTCTAACTTCCAAAATAAATAAATAAATAAATAAATAAATAACTCTTCCAAATCAGTGAACTATCTTTAAAAGAGCAAAACTGAGAAAATGTTTTGGTTGGAGACTTCCTGACCACATCCTGTTTCTCCTGATGGGCAAGGCTGTGGAGGTGATCCTTAATCAAAATACGTATGAGCCCAGAACATTTCTAGATTGGTCTAAGTTGCTTATTGTCTTAAGAATGACAAATTTGTAAACTTTGATGGGCTCTCTAAGGCACTACACTCAGTTTAAAGTTCCTATTTCCACAAAGATCTCCCAAGGTTATTTTTGCTTTGCTACAGAAAATTTGGCCAGTCCACACAGTTTATTTTATTAAATTTTCACTAGAAGATTCATTGAGACTGAGAAAAAGAAAAAGCCAAATTCTTCTATTATCTAGGTTGGACAAATGGGTAGGTGGTATTGTCAGAGCTGAACAGCTTAAGATCTGTCTGTTCTCCAGTTCAACAAATATGTTTCTTTGTCACTATCTTCTCTCTCTCCTGTTCTTATTTTTTTCTTTCTATTTTATTTCTGGTGGTAATTGCGTTTGAACTCAGGACCTCATGCTTACTAGGCAGGCACTCTATCACTTGAGCCACATACCCCCACCCTCTCTCCTCTTTCTTTTCTTTATTCCTTACATTCAACAACACTATTTTAATTACTTTAGTGGCAATAAATAAAGTCACTTTAAAAATATTATTTCAGTAAGAATAATTCTATCTGCTTATATGTTAGTAAGACTTAAAAACTATGAAGAACAGGTTTTATAAGCCATAAGTAGAACCAGGCCCTTACTTTATACTAACTCTAGCTAAGTTTCAAACAGAAGTGGTAGGTTTTCCTTCATTACACTGAAGCGAGAGCACACAAAGGAGGTGTGAGGATAGGTAAGACACCTAAAAAACTAGCTAGCATTTGTTGCCCTTAACGCAGAGAAACTAAAGCAGATACCTTAAAGCAACTGAGGCCAATAGGAAAAGGGGAACAGTTACTAGAGAAAAGGTTAGATCAAAAAGAATTAACCTAGAAGGTAACACACACGCACAGGAAATCAATGTGAGTCAATGCCCTGTATAGCTATCCTTATCTCAACCAGCAAAACCCTTGTTCCTTCCTATTATTGCTTATACTCTCTCTACAACAAAATTAGAAATAAGGGCAAAATAGTTTCTGCTGGATATTGAAGGGGGGGAGAGGGAGGGGGCGGAGTGGGTGGTAAGGGAGGGGGTGGGGGCAGGGGGGAGAAATGAACCAAGCCTTGTATGCACATATGAATAATAAAAGAAAAAAAAGAAACAATAACAATCTAATATTTAATAATAATAATAACTATTAATAATATTTCTGGTTGGTTATTATGATTTTGGAATTAATTTAATTATTGGCCATAGTTTTAAAGGGATGAGTTATTTGCTTAGAATAAAACTATTTAATGATTCTGGGATTTAGGGTTTATTTAAAGTACCAAACTTGCAACATAAAACAGGGCAATACATTTCAAAATTCTCCTTTATAGAACAGTGAGCTTTTGCTCAGAAATGCTTGATTAAGAGTTCAGTATTCTATTTACAATTCACAAAGAATATTAGAATTACTTTTTATCATGATCTGATATAAAAGCTCTTTGCATATATAGGTAAATGTTATTAGTGTTGGAGCTTTAGCTGCCCAAATACCTATTCCCTTCATGACCTTTGTGTCCATGGCCCAGACATTGGGTGCAAGGTTTCAAGCATCTGGCCTTATATCACAATCCGGAACAAATGGCCCTACTTTCATAAAAGTAGTCAGAACAACTGCTGCCATGCAACATAAGGTTACAAAAAAGAACTTTTCACCACATTATTTCTATATAATGGGAAAATACTAAGTATTGCCATTATGTTACATATAACTTTTTGGCTATTCATGGGAAAGGGTGAATCGATGCCTACATTTCAATCATCTATTATAAGTAAGTCAGCATACACTGATGCCTTAGTTTAAGTCCATGTTTGGGTTTTTTTCAGTGCTGTGTGTGTGTGTGTGTGTGTGTGTGTGTGTGTTGCTGGGAATAGAACGCAGGGCTTTGCATATGTTAGGCAAATACTCCACTGAGATTCCCAACTGGAGCTTTTAAATAAAGTAACAACTTAATCCTTCCTCACTTTCTGAGAGTTAAATACAGAAAAAAACATAGAAAACCCAACTAATCAGAATTATGACTGGATTTCATTTCTGCAATTGATAATAAAGCAGAAAATAACAACCAAACAGACAAGAGGAATTTTTGCTACTAAGAAGTAGCAGAGGGTGTCTTGGATTCAGGAAAAACAGTGTGTAATCTTCCCTATATTTTGAATTATATGTCATCTGCAGAATTTGTATCCAGTTCTACCTGAGTTGTCAAAGAAATTTTCTATCCCATTCCTTACACTGTTCTTGTGAATGTGGAAAGAGGTATTATACTTTCCACGGTAGTTTCAATAAACATTCAAACAAAAAAGTGGGACAATTTTATTTAGTATGACTCTCTAGCTTCCCCAGAAAAACCAGTCAAGAAATGCATTCCTTAAATATCCTGTTTACTCTGCTTCTCAATTCATGACCCTATACCCCTAAACAACTATAACTAGAATTAAAGTCATATTCCAATTTAATTGGCTTACCTATGACGCATAAAATTCTCAAAGGATAGTTTTAGATCATGTGGAATTACCACAGTTGTTGGTTTTATCTGTGGAAGAAAGCCTTTTTTAGAATATTGGCCATAAGTGCATTCTGATTTAAATAAATAATGTACCACCTTAGTAAACTCAGGTTGTACATGCTTTTGTGGTATGAATGAGCTGGAGGGTATATCATCCTGCTCTCAAGTCAGGGTCTTGGTTCTTCCCTGATTATCAGATTTCAAAGGTAGATAACTCAAGATTAGGAAGGCTTCAAAAATCTGTTTCTTTAGATCATTCCTCCACATTCTTCAGCTCTTGGTGAAACTATTACTTTTTCACAGATACTACTGGCTCCTGGAAAACTGTTTTGTGGTTCTCTGCCTTATTTCTCAGGAATTCCTCTTTCAAAATGCCCACAAAAGTTGTATTATATTTACTTGCTTAATGTTTGGCTTTTCTTGATAGACTTTCAGTTCATGAGGACAGAGACCACATATCTGGGTTTGTGTTTCCAACTCCCAAACTGTCTATTTAAGCCATTTTTGGTCAAATTGGTGAACACATAAGCCTACTTTGAGGCACGCTTTAAAACTTTAAGTGTGTTCTTCATACAAGTTAAAATAAAGTTACAGCATTCCTCCTTAAGAAGCATTGCTTTCTTGAGTTTTAAAAATTTTTTTACTAGCACGAGTTAGAGATGTGATTTCACTAAAAAATATTTTTAAATATTTCTTGAAAATGATTGTAGATTTGACAATGAAATGATAATCGCAAAGATGTGGGTGTAGGTGTTCACTTGACCTATTCACTAAGTGACTTGTACCAAGTGACTCAGGAGTTAGATTTATGATACAATAAAATTGCAGATTACAAAGTCTCAAGTACCTTTAGAGGTACTTGAAAATAGCAAAAATCTCAATATCACATCTACATGAATGCCAATCACCTACCATATTTAGTCAGATTGTTCTAACTCATTAGCTGAGGAAGGAAGGAGGAGGGGGAGGAAGGAGGTGTTCTGGTAGCATCTGGGGGTGGCGAGGGGCAGTAAAGGCTTTTGTGAGACCTAAGGAGAGGGGAAATAATATGCCAGAGATAGACCTTGCCTTTCCCAAAAACTTTATCTAAAGTTGGTGCTGCTCCAAGGAGAGATGCATGAGACTCTCTGTCTCCTCCTGAATACCATGATTCATGTTCTGAAGCAAATAAACCCAGCTCAGAGTAGTTTATGCAGGAAGTAGGCTAGGCGCCACATCAGAACAACCACTAAAGATAGCATTTTTGTTTTTGAGAAAAAGTGTATCAAGGTGAATTCCTGTTCATTCTCCCTCCTTATTGATATTCTTTAATTTTAATTATACAGATTTATGGGCATAGCGTCATAACTCAATACATGCCTGTGTGTATAATGATCAGATCAAGGTAGCTAACATTTCCCTCTCTTTAAACATTTAAATTTGGCTAACACAAAAATTTGTACTTATCAAGTACATTTCAACTCACACATACACTATTCAATTATTAAATCAATATAACTAACATTTCCATATCCTTTTTATTATTTTTTGTCTAGTCTTCATCCTCCTCTCTTCTACTGAATCATAAAATATTTAGTAGGTTATGAGCCACAGTCATCCCACTGTACTATAGAATACTAGAATTTAGTACTTCTATCTAATTGTGTTTTAGTACCCATTATCCAACCTTCCTTTGTCTTCCCTACCCTTCTTAGATTCTGGTAATTTCTATTATATATTCTGATTAACTTGTTAAAAATTTGCATATGAGGAAAGTATGCAGTATTTGCCTTTCTGTGTCTGATTAGTTTCCCTTACCATTCCATATACTTTGCTAAAAATGACAGGATATCATTCTTGTCATAGCTGAATAATATTTGATTGTGCATATATACCACACTTTTTAATTCCTTTGTCCTTTTATAGGCACCAGGGTTGGTTCCATAGCATGGCTATTGTGAATATTGCAACAATAAACACGATGTGCAAGTGTCCTTTTGATGTGCTGATATCATTTCCTTTGGGTAAATACCCAGAAGAGGTACAGCTAATTATACAGTATTTCTACTTTTTAGGTTTTTTTTAGAAATTGCCATACTGCTCTCCATAATGGTTGTACTACTTTACATTTCCACCAATAGTGTATGAGGGTTCCCTTTCCACCACGTCCTTGTCAGTATGTTTATTTTTGACTTTTTGGTTATAGCTATTCTAATTCATGGTTTTCCTTTGCATTTCCATGGCAGCTAATGAAGTAGAATATTTTTTTTTCATGTTTTTTGGCCACTTGAATTTCTTCTTTTCAGAAGTTACTCTTTATATCCTCGGCTCATTTTAAAACTGGATTATTTATGTTTGTTGAGTTTTTAAAAGTTCTTTACATATTCTGGATATTAACCCTTTGCCAGATGAATAGTTTGTAAAAATTGACTCTCATGCTGTAGGTTGTCTCTTCACTCTGTTGTTTTCTTTGTATAAATCCCACTTGATCATGATTAATGGTCTTTTTAGGTATGCTGTTAAACTCAAATTGCTAATATTTGGTTGAAAATTTTTCCTTCTAAACTCATTATAGATATTGATCTGTAGTTTGTTGTTATTGTGTTCTGTCTGGTTTCAGAATTCAGTGAATACTACCCTCACAAAATAAGTTTGGAAGAATTCCCTTCCTTTGGATTTTTTGAATAGTTAAAGTATTGACATTAAGCAGTTCCTCATTAAGCTTGGTGGACTTAAGCACTAAAATTATCCTGTCCTAGACTTTTTTCCCCTGGGAGGCTTTTTATTATTGATTCAATTGTGAATTTCTTGTATGCAGCATATTATTGGGTCTTGTGTTGTATCCATTCAACCAATTTGTATCTTTTAATTGGGGGAATTTAGTCCACTTACATTCAAGATTATGGATAAGAACTTACTCCTGTTATTTTGTAATATTATTTGATTGTTTCAAATATCCTTTGTTCGTTTCTTCCTTCTTCATTGTTCATCTTTATGGTTTGGTGGTTTGTATTATGATAATAATGTTTGAGTCTTCTCTGTTTCTCTTTTGTGTGACTGCTCCTCCAGTATAGTTCATATTTTCATGTGTTTTCTCATGTAGTTGTCTTTATTTTGCTTCTTGGTATAAGACTCCCTTAAACATCTTCTGTAAAACCAGTCTGGTGGTGAGGATTCCCTCAGATTTTGCTTGTATTGAAGCCTTTATATCTGAAGGATAGCTTTCCTGGTATAGTATTCTTGGTTGACAGTTATTTTCTCTCAGAATTTGGATTATGCCAAATTCTATAAGTTTTCTGCTGAGAAATTTGCTGTTGGTCTGGTGGAGGTTCCCTTAAATGTTATTTGTTGCTCTTCTATTGAAGCTTTTAGAATTCTTTGTCGTTGTGTTGAACTTTTGACAGTTTGACTCTGACATGCCATGGTGAGCATCTTTTCTGGTCATGTTTATTTGGAATCCTATGGGCCTCCTATATCTAGATGCCTATATGTTTCCCAAGATTGAGAAAGTTTTTAGGTATTATATAATTGGTTTTCTATGCCTCTTCCCTTTTATTCTCCTTTAGATTTCCAAAAATGTGAATATTTGTTCATTTAATCATGTTCCTAAGATCTCAGAGGCTGATTTCATTCATTCTTTTCTTTTCTTCTCTCTTTCTCCCCCCCCCCCCATTGGTCTATTTAAAAAGACCTGTTTTTAAGTTCAGAAATCTTTCTTCTGCTTTTTCTAGTCTTTTGTTGAAGCTCTTATTTGTATTTTTTAATTAGACTCTTTACTTCCAAGATTTCTGTTTGGTTCTTTTTCCAAGATCTCTGTCTATGCCAAATTTTTCACACATTATTCACTCAACTACCTGTCTAGTTGAGATTCTCTTGAAACTCTTTGAGCGTCTTTGCTTTTTTAAAAAAAAAATGGGGGAAAGAATTAGGGTTTGAATTCATGGTCTTGTGCTTGCCTCCACCACTTGAACTATGTCCTTACCTCTTTTTGCTTAATTTGTTTTTCAGATAAGGTCTAGAATTTTTTTCTGGGATTGCCTTGGACTGTGATCATCCTACCTCTGCCTGCCAAGTAACTGGAATTATAGGGATGTACCACCATATCCAGTTCCTCACTGAGCTGCTTTATAATCATTATTTTAAGTTATCAGCCATTTCATCAATATGAAGGTATCCTGTTACCCTGCTTTTTCATTTCTAATAATGATTTGCATATCTGGTGGATTATTTATCTCTATCAGTTTTATAAGGAGACTTTCATACTAAATGGATTTTTCTAGCTGTGTCTTGGGGTGTCAGTTTGGTAGTGATGTTGGCTTTCGTTCAGGCTGTTGTCTCCCTAACTTCCTTGACTTTAATTAAAGGCTCTGAGTGTAATGAATGCTGTGGTGGAGTTGAAAAGACCTACCATTTCTGGGGACCATGTGGTATTGGGAACACTCTAGCATCCTGAGAAGGTATGGTATATATAGCAGTTATAATGGGGTGGCCCCTGTGTGGTCACTTCAATTATGGGAGCGTTAGCATCAGGAATGCAGTAGATTTTCATCAGGCACTGCTGGAATAAACTCAGATGCTTTCAAGGGCCTTTGGCACTGGCAGTGGGGGAACATGTAGTATCTTCCCTCAGTATTGGTGGTGGCATGGGCCTATAAGCAGTTGGGAAGAGGAGGAAGTGGTAGTAGGGAACCACTTCAGACCTTCTCAGCCCTAATGGTGATGTGGGCCCAACTAACTGTTGGCAGGTAGTGCAGGTGCACAGAAGCTCACCACAAGGGAAGGCAGTGGGAGAGATCCCTAGTATCTGTTCTTAGTCCCACTAAGAACACTGCTGTGGGTTAACTATTGGGGTCACATTGGGATCAAGTTGGATTATAAGTTGCCAGTCCCCTGTGCTATCATGGTAGATAAGTAGATATGAATTTGGACAATACCACCTTTCTCAAGATGGCACTTAGGTATGGCAGTCTAGACTCTGGGGTATGACAGGGAAACAACATGAGTTCCTTCTCCAAATCAAACCTATTGTGTAGAGTTTGGGTTGCTCCTCTAACTGAGCTACAAACTTTCCAGTGGCTAGAATGGCCAGTGGCTGTGCTGATAGTTTTCTGGGACTCTCCAGTTCACCCTTTCCTCTGTCAAGGGAAGACACCTCTTCTGGGCTAGGCAGAGGAGCCAGGTTGCAGTTGCTGGTATACCTTGTTTCTCTTTGTGTGCTGCTATCTTAGGTCTCTGAGTCCTACAAGGTTGCAGTCTCTCTCTTGCTGAATTCTGGCATTCTTCCATGGTCACTCCATCTAGCTGTTGTTTTGGCTTTTCCTTGTGGAAGAGGAGATAAATTCTGGGCACCTCTATTTGGTCATCTTGGAATTTCCTGTTTATTCTCAAAAACCCTGAAAAGTATTTCTATTCTATTTCCATTCATAATATATTATTGTCACAATTTATCTGTTTGCTCCTTAAAGACAGGGCTTATAACATTATTTTTTTCTTTGTCCCTGAGATATTACCTAAGAACTGGTCCATGGCAGGCTGTCAACAAATATCAATGGACTTTTAAAACCAATTTATATTTATATTAGAGAATGTCTACCTACAGTATGTCCAACTTAATTGCCCTACTTTAAAGGAGTTTGAAAATGTTAACTAGAAAGCAATGCAGATAACAGAATAGCTACAAAATAGGTACAATAAGGGAATATGAGCTGTTTGGAGCAGAGATGCCATTAAGAGTAGAGAAAGCCAAGGCACATATCTTTGGTGATTTACAACCATAACCATCAGTAGATATGTCTTCTATTCTGTATGGTTAAGCTCCTGACCAAGGTTATGTAGGAATATACACCAGGACCTATTTAGGATTTGTTTTTCATTTTGTGCTTTTATTTATTTATTCATTCAGTTAATTAGTTAGTTAGTTTTAGCAATATTGGGGTTTGAACCCAGGGCCTTGTGCTTGCTTGCTAGGCAGGTGTGCTACCACCTGAGCCTTACTCTTGTGCTTTTATTTTTAAGTATTTTTTCTAGTTCTAACCCTTTTGCATTAAGATATATAAGTCATGTATTATAAAATTCACCATCCTAATGTACAACTCAGTGATTTATAGCATATTCAGAAAGTTGTACAACACTCACCACTATCTACATCCTGGACATTTCATCACCTCCAAAAGAAACCCTATACCAATTTGTAGTCATCCTTCATTTACACCTTTCCTCAGTCATTAGCAACCACTGCCTACTTTCTAGCTCTATCAATTTGCCTATTCAAGATAGTTCATAAACATGGAATTAATATAATATGTAGTCTTTTGTATATGGCTTTTTTTACTTTGCAAAGTGTTTTCAAGGTTCATCTATGTTATAGCATGTATCAGTATTTCATGCCTTTCAATGGCTGAATAATTTTATATTGTATAAATAGTCCACATTGTATTTATCCATTAATAAAATAATGGATATTTGAACTAGTTCTAATTTTTGATTATTATGGATACAGCTGCTATGAACATTTGTGAGTAAGTTTATGTGTGTACATATAAACTTATGCTTATGTACTATGAAAAAATGATTATAATCTCACTTAACACATGATGACACTGGGACTTAGGATAGAAAGTAACTTGTCTATGGTAATACTTCTGCAAAACTGTAGAGCCAGAGTTTAAGTCCAGGTTTTCTGCCTCTCAGGTGGCATGCTCTTGGGTAGAAATGGAATTGCTGGATTATATGGTAACTCCATGTTTAAAGAACTGAAAAGCTGTTTTCAAAAATAACCACACTGCTTTATATTCCCAGGAACAATATATGGCCTGCTATATTTAGGTATTTGATCTAACTTGAGGGTGTTTAAAAAAAATATATGGTATGAGGGAAAGGTATAGCTTCAACCTTTTGCATATGGATATGCAGTTTTCTCAGTACCATTTATTTAAAAGACTATTATTTCCTCGTTTAACTATCTTGGTAACTTTGCCAAAAAGCAATTGCTTATAAATATAAGGATATAATTTTGAAATCTCAATTTTACTCCATTGATCTATATGTTATACCAATGTCACATAGTTTCAAATGTAGTTTTGTAGTAAGTCTCAAAATTGGGACTTTTGAGTCCACAAACTTGGTACTTCTCTTTCAAGATTGTTATGGTTATTCTGGATCTTTTTCATTTTCATATGATTTTTATGTTCTGCTTGTTGATTCCTACAAAAATGGCATCTGGGATTTTGAAAGGAATTACCTTAAGTCTGTAGATTTGGGGGACTATTACCATCTTTACAAAATCAAATGCTACAATCTGTGAACATGGGGTTCTTTCAATGTATTTAGGTCTTCCATTTCTTTCCATTATGTTTTATAAGTTTTTGATGTACAGGTCTTGTACTCCTTTCATTAACTTTCTTCCTAAGTATTTTTGGTGCTATTGTAAATGGGATTATTTTCTTAATTTCAATTTTGGATTACACACTGTTAGTATATAGGAGTAAGTTAATGTTTATATATTGACCTTGTATCATGTAGCCCTAATGCACTCATTCATTAACTCTAATATATATATTTTTGGTGTGTATATGTTTTTATTACCCAGGATGATATAAGATCATGTCATCTGCAAGTAGACAATTTTACCTCTTTCTCTGTAGTAAATATGGGTCTTATTTCTTTTTCTTGTCTTAACTGCTCCCAGCTAGAATGGACAGTACAATATTTAATGGAAATGGCAAGTGCAGACATCCTTGTCTTGTTCCTGATCTTAGGGGAAATTATACAGCCTTTCACGATTCAGTAGGACCTTAGTTGTAGGTTTTCCATAGACTCCCTGCATTAGATTGAGGAAATTCCCTTCTGTTTTTAGGAACCTTTCACTATCATCATCCAGTATTTTCATCCAACTCATTCCTGAGATAGGAGGGATGTTGCAGTGAATACAGCAGCTTATCAGTTTTTCCCCCTGAAGGATGTTGTGCTACTGTGTATGGTGAGGAATGGGAAGTTCATGCTTGTTTTCTAAGTTTTTGTAGTTGCCCACCAGGTTCTGAGAGTAGTAGGGAAGAGTTTCTAGGTACTTTTGACCATTGTAATCCTTAGTATGTGAAAAATGAATACCAATTGCAGCAAGTGTAGTTTTGCCAGGAACTTCAGTTAAATTTCCAATTCCCACACAAAACTCCACAAAACTGCTGCTCTTCTATCCATTCTACTAGCCTGAAGCACTTTGCTATGAGCTCAGGGAAGGAGCCTTTCTTGAACCTACTATTTTTCTTTCATGCCTTGCCCTTTTTCCCATTGTATATTTAGCCCGTTTTCTCCTCAAGTCTAAGAAGAATCACAGGATATCAGACTTGAAGAGACTCTTCTCCCTCTCCTACCTAAACTTAACCAGGTGGCTAAATAACTTTTAACCAAATCCAGATCCTTACCCTAACAATGACAGTCATCCTAACACTAACCCTAACCCTTAAATCAACCCATGTCCTAATCTGCCCTGGAATAATAGTACTCCTGAAACAGGCCTCTTTCTTCAGCAACTCTGACAGGTGGTGGCATGTTAGCCTTCCATACTTCCTTGATATCCTGCTTTCTTTTTCCTAACACTCTTCCATCACTACCCTTCCCCACCATGAGTTTCAGATATCCATGCCAAGTGACAACCCCACTAGCTAGAAACTACTACACAATCTCTCCCGAGTTTATCTTCTGAGGTGTTCACTCAATCAATGGTAAACCCAAAGATTAAGGTGCTTGTTTCATGACTGTAACAGTGGAGGACTGCATGTGTGTGTGTGTGTGTGTTGTGCTATGCTGGGGAGATGTTAAAGAGGGAGAAGAAGTACCATAGGTCCATAGCCTCTGGAACCTCTATAAAGGTGTAATTACTTATGATCTCAAATCATAGTGGCTCATCTCATCTCTTCCCCTCTGAGACTACTGCTTTGTTTCACCTTTGGCTTGTTGAAATGGGGAAAGTTTATCATACTGTGTCAGCTGATGCTGCTCCCAGGACCAACAGTTTCTCATTTATAGCCATTATCAGGGTCTTCTCTTAAAGGGGCCCTACCACAGTCTCTTTCCATAGGGCTCCAGTGGAAGATAGGCAGTGCTCTGCCCTGAGGATGGACACACCCATTTCTGTCACCCCTTGCCTACCATTTTTAGTTCTCGACATGTGGAGCACAACTTTCTATTTCTGAGCAATTCAGGGTTCTTCCTGGTCTAAGGAGAAGGAGAAAGAAAGACAGAGTCAGGTGAGGAAATGCTAAGGTACCTGGGGCACCAAAGAAATGGGATAGGGTGAAGAGGTGAAAGAGGTAACAGTTTTTTCTTCCATAAAACAGAGAGGGCACTCTGTTCTCAGTTCTTTCTAGGGTGGTTGATAAATTTGGGGTTTACTGAAGTTGATTGGTTCAGAAAGTGTTTATTTAGGAGGGAGTAACCTGAAGTGGTGGACTTGGGCTATGATATACAGTGGTATATGTGGAAGAACAGCTGCCACAGAGAACTTGGGTTAGGGCTAGGAGCTGAAATCCAGTGGGGTCTCTGATTTCTATTCTGAACACCCAGGGATGAGGGGTTGCATTTTCTCATAGGTAAAACATTTCTTCCATTTTACACAAAGGCTAGCCTAGCTGAGAACCTTTAATGGCCTAAAAATGAATGAAGAGTTCTCTTCTGCAAAACTCCTTTGACAAGCCCCTCCCAGGCAGCATCTTTTCTCTGGATGACCAACTGTTAACCATTAATGGTCCAGTCACACTTGGCTCATCTGTACCTCCTGAGAGCCATGCTTGAAGCCACAAGCAGAATTGGAGCTGGTATGCATGTTATGAGTCCCCTCACTCCTCCAGGGAAGAGAGGCTGTCCCAGCCAGGGAAAGGAATGACTAGTGGAAAGAACTTGGGGTCACCCTTTCTGCTCACTGAAATTATTGCTTTCTTTGTTTTATCTCTCCAAAGGGGTGAAAGAGAGACTTTACATGTGCATCTCTAGCAAAAGTTTGTTTAGGAAGAAAATGGGAACTTGAGGCTAAAATTATGTTTGGATATTATCTCTAGCCCTTTTTTATGAACGCTGAAATTAGAGTAATAAGGTATGTTCATACAAAGTGTAAAGGGAGGGGCACAATGATAAGCAAATAATGACTTCAACCAAAGCCCTTCCTTCCAATTGATTGGCATGTTGGCCCATATGATCCCTGATCCATTCCTGTTCTCCGGAGAGGTGTGGAAAACAGAAAGATGAGGAATCTATCTATGCAGCACAACGAGTGTCAGGGACTACTCCAAAGGTGACCTTTGATGGACTGATCTGGAAGTAGTCTTATCTTTTGAGAGATGTATGGCAGTTGGAGTTTAAGAACTTAAAACTATTGACAAAGTTGGATTTCTTTGACAAATATTTAAAATATGCTTCATTTTTTATACAGCATTAAAAAGAATCAACTCAGTACTACAATGTTGTGGGTTGGTATGTTAAAATATGAGTGTGAATGACTAGATTCATTCCTCAATGAACATTTATTGTGAGGCTAAAATGTGGAAGGTACTGTAATGGGGTCATAGAGATGAATAAGACAAAGTTTCTGGCCCTAAGACAGACAAGTGAAGAATACAAATTAATTTTCTTGTCTATTCATTTGGTACGCTGAGATAATAAAACATGGCCTCTTACATCAAGCTACTCACCATCTATCAGTCTGTGTGCCAAGAAGAGTGATGATGTTGAAGGTACTATGACAGAAATAAATATTGAGGCTACAGTAAAAAGTAAAGGAGTTGTTGAGCTCACCTGGGGGTAGGGCAAAGAGAATGGTCTGAGAAGGGTTAAAAGAATAAACAGTACTTTGGTAGGCATTTTGGTGGTAAACCAGGAAAGGGGAGGGCATTCCAGGTCCAGGACACTATAAAACAACACAGAAGAATAGCCTGGCAAATCAGCTTCAGGTAACTGAGGACAGGTTAGAATGGCCAGGTTGTCTGGTGGGAGGAAGAGTGGGGTAAGAAGAGGGACTAGAGAAGTTTCTGTCTGTATATGGAATACTCTGTTTTGGATGGATCCAACTTTCTACCATGTCTTCCCTGATATCTTATGGGTGGCATCCCTTGCAGCTGAGCCTCCTTCAGATGAATCTCTTACATTTTTGAGGTCTGAGACTGATAATAGTATTCTAAAATTTCCATCCAAGTTGGATGCACTAGATAACTGGATAGAAGTAGCAATAACACATTCGGGCGGTTAGAAAGGAGAGAGACCACTTCTGATCAGAGCAATCAGGAAAGGATTCCTAGAAATGGCATTTATACTTGGTCTGAGAGAATGAGTAAGACCTGGACAGGGGGAGGTGGGTGAGAGAAAATCCCTGGGATATTTTTTACTAGAGTATATAGATTATTTTCCTCCCTGCAATTAATTATTTTCCTGGTTTCAGACTTCTGGTTTCTGTATAATACTCCTACTAGACCCTATAGAGACCAGAATCACAAAGCTCACTACAAACCAAGCTATGAAAATATTTGTGAAGTCTCCAAGGTGTTAGCAGGACCTTCCTAGTTAATGACAATTGTAGGTGTGACAATGGAGTCCCATAACCATGATTACTGCCATCTCTTGGACCTGAAGAACAAAAGTGTTTTCTATATTGCCCTACCTTGCCTTGTTAATTCATCCTTTATGACAGTGTAATTTTACTTTCTCAGGAAACCTAAGTTCTGCCCCTTCTAGCTTACCCGCTAACCTGAGTTTTGTGTTCTGATTCCATCATAGAGTTGGTAAAGCTTTTTTACTTTTTTGCATTTTCCATGTACTATCCTTCTTTTATTTAAAAAGATATGCTTGTTTCCTCCACCATGCTGGGAATTATTTAATGGCAAGAACCATGTCTTATACATTTTGGTACTCCTAGAGTCCATCACAGAATTTGGTGCACAGTAAGTATTCAACCTATGTTGGTTGAATGAATGACTCATTTTAAGTATTTTGAGTTAATAGGAATAAATATAGATATAACTGACACGGGTATGTGTGTGTATGTGTGTTTATAACACAAAATACATATGTGCACAAAGATCATTTTTATAACATTGTCTTCAATGAAACATTACAGGATATTAATGTGCAATACATTCACTTTTCATAAGGTACTGAGGAAAAGCACTGGCTGGGAGTTCAAAGGGCTCTGTTCTGGATCTGGATCTTTGAGCAACTTAGAGTGACTGGTCAATTAATGCAAACTCTTTGGTCCTCCACTTCTCTACTGATGATGGTCTGTATGGCCAAAAAGACAGAGGCAGATACTCTAATCCTATCAACTTGTAATATGTAGAGCAAAAACCAGTCTTGAAACTGTGGCTTTACTCAGCTCAGACTTACTACCAGTTGAAGCATATCTTTTTTATTTGAAGGAAAAGGTGAGCAGACTGGGAGTGATAGAAAGCAGCTGTGATAGGCAAGTCCAAAGTTGATGCAAATGACTTGGGATTCCATGTTCTATGGGTCTAATTTCCTCTTCCTGTCACTTTCTTTTCCAGCTATCATCCTTCTGGATGATTCCCTTCTCACTCTGGTTCCTTAAGGCCAGCTCAGTATTGTAACAGGAATGACAGTGAATTAGCCAGGTTCACAGCCAAACACTGGTTATATCATCTCTACAGCCAGAGGCTCAGAAATGTTAACGGGGCTCTCATTTCCCATGCAGCTGTCCCTAGGACAGCAGATAGTTGTGACAAGAGGGTGACAGTAACATGTTTGTAGCCTAGCATAGGTAGGGTGCAGATTTCAGCTAGTCCCCAGGAGCCAGTAGGACAATATCTGCTGAGGTTCCTAAGAGTTGGCTCATGGCCCAAGTTCTTGCCTTTCTTAAATCCTTGGTAAAGAAACAGAGAAGCATATTTCTCACTCTCCTTTTCCTTTTCTCCCCTCTCTCACTCTCTACTCCCCACACACACACACACTGGCTGTCTCACTCCCCCCCCACACATACACCTGTTCACATAACAAAAACTGAAAATGTAAGCACCAGATGGTGATTTTAAAAATAGATTATCACGAGCATGCTTTAAGGGCAATGGCAAATTTGCCCCTTTCCTTCTCACTCTTTGACATGTCTATACCTTTCCTCTTTTCTACTCCTGACTTAACTGAGAGAGATCTCATAAGGCTGTCTGGCTCAAACTGTTTTAATTAACTCAGTGAGGAAACTGTAGCCCAGAAAGGTTAAGAGATTTGTCCAACAACACATCTATTTAGTTTCAGTTGACTGGGAAGATTTTTGGATAAAAGTGTCAAAGACAGATTATCTTTGGTCAGGGGAAAAGTGGGCTCTTAGAATACATCTGAAGGCATACTTACTCGTATGTCTTTTAGAGTTCAAGAGGTATGGTCAGAGAACTATGTTCAATATTCCAGAAAACCCTAAGATAATTACACCTTTCCCTTCTATCTGAAAATACTATTTCAATCAAAGAATAAATATGCATATAGTTTTTAAATGCTCTTTATTACTCACTAGGAAAATATATAGGCCAGGCATGGTAGCTTACATCTGTAATCCTGGCTACTCAGGAGGTGAAGGTCAGGGGGAATCTTCATCTGAGGCCAGTGTAGGCAAAATGTTTGCAAGAACCCCACCTCAACAAATAAGCTGTCCATAGTGGTTCATGCCTATAGTCCTAGTTATGTAGGAGGCATAGGCTGACCCTAGGCAAAAAGTACAAGATCATATCTGAAAAATAACCTGAAGCAAAAAGGGCTAAGTGTGTAGCCCAAGTGGTTGGGTACTTGCTTAGCACATGCAGAGCCCTGAGTTCAAGCCCCAGTACTAATAAAAAATTAAACACACAAAATAGTAGACATGTACCTACTATCCAGCCTTATTATACTTAATTTTTTATTACCATCATTATTTTAGTTCAAGTATTCATTACTACTTCTAACATGATATCTGATCACTATAAACAGGAAAAGGACTTAGGAGTATACGAGGTAGTTTCTTTGGAAGTCATGAACTTGGCAAGTTTAGAGTCAATGAAAAAGAATTAAGGAGTTCACAGTGGCAAGAAAATAGGAAATCACCATCTATATGTTTTCCCAGCTCAACCTCTACTCCTGCACAATCATTTCAGTCAAGTCTTTTGATCACAGGTATGCTAAAAGAAAAATAAGTAACATTCTCATCTTTACTCTGACTTATCAGACTGGAACAACAAAGCCAGATCAAAGAGAGTAAAGAAGGAGTAGGGGCAGGAATTGAGAGGGCGGGGTGGCCCTTTGAGGAGCTTTGGCCAGTTTACATCTAACTAGCAGGTGGACAAAGGCATTCTGGGATCTCCAGCTTCAGTTCCACAGGTCACCCTCACACTTCTGCTTTTGCCATGGATTGCTAAGGCACCTCTTGGCACAATTATCCAACTGTTAATGATATACCTCCCTATTTAACAGCATCTCATGAAGTCATGAGTCAATGCCTGGAAATGACAGGTGCAAGTAGTGCCTAATAAAAAAGCCTCTGCCCAGTAAATGTTTAAATGAGGGAATGTTTAAGCTTCATTTCTTGCCTTCATTCACATTTTTCCTCTTTATTATCTGTCTCTCCTTTTGTTTCTCTTTTGTGGTTTTTGGTCCTCTACCTCTCTGTGTGTCCCTCTCTTGCTGTCTGTCTCCCTCTCCCTGCTGTCATGTCTTTGAGCCTGTTTTTTCTCTTCATTAGATAATGCTGTTCCCAGCACACATGTGCCTGCAGCTGCATGGGGCTTCTCCAGGGCAAGGGAGAAATGCCACTTGGAATGTGAGTGCTCAAAGTTCTGCCTTTTGACCTCTGACTGTGAATAGGAAGGGAGCCAGGTGGCAGGAACTTTGCACCTATACTCATGGTCCAGGTTTCCTGGTTGGTTGCAGGGTGACCAGCAGCTTCTTGGCAGGTCCCTGATTTAGGGGATAAAAGAAGAGACAGAGTGTCCTTGGTACATTCCTCTCCTGTGAGGCACAACATAGTTTCTTACTGAAAAGGAGCAGCTGCTGGCTCAGCTCCTGTTTACCTCATAGCACACAAGTGAGGGGATTCGTGTCCACAGCCATAGCAAGCTATTGGCTAAGTGGAAGAGCTATTGCTCTTAACTGTCATCTAGTGGCCAGCCACAGGATTGCAGTTATGAAATGCTAAGCCCTGCTAAGAAGATGGCATCTCGCTGCTCTGGTCATTACGAATTCTTTCCTCCCTCATCCTCTGTGCCAACCAAGTTGGTGCTTGTTGTCTTAGTGCCTAGGCTGCCAGGTTCTCTGAGACCCAGAGCCAGCCTGGGAACAGCTGGTATTCAGTTGCAGTGCCTTTCTGTGGAGTTAAGAGGGACTAATGGGTGACCATTAAGTACAGCTTGGACTCAGGGCTGAAAACCTGACATATCTCCTCACTAGTCTTGGCCTTTTGGGCCCTCTATGGTCTAGCTGGGCTCACCCATTCCCTTGCTTCCCTTCAAGTGCACAGTGATCCTCTGGTGTTCAAGTACTTCCTGAACTCTCAGGCTTATCTTTGCCAATATTCTCCCCTTAACCCAAGAGTCTCTCTCTCTCTCTTTTCTCTCTTTTTCTAATCCTCTTTCCAGCATTTGTGAAAATATTATTTTCAGGATCCAACACAGATGCCACTTCCTCTTGAATCATTCCTTTGCTCCACCTCTGCTCACCCCTTCCCAACCTGGAGGTAACCTTTCCTCCCACCTTTCCTCACAAGTACTTTGCCCCGCTCTCTGATGCTCCTGTGACTGTGGTGTGCCTGTTCCACCCCCCATTTGTGTAGGCTGCAACTGACATACTCATCCCTGTGTATCAAAGCAAATAAAAAGGGTTCAGTAAGCATTCGTGGACTTCCATTAGGACTCTTACTAAGCATGGCTTACACTTACTGAGCTCTTACTAGCGATGGGCACTGGGTCAAGTATGTGAAAATACTGCTCCAGGCACTGCCTACAACAGCCATGTGAATGTGTGGAATTTTTCAGGTCAAAGAACTACTTGTATAACCAGGTGTTCTCTCTCTTCACCTCAGGGAGTTCTGAATGCACAAGTACCATTAGTGTCACAGAACAGCCTGTGCTGCACAGTGCCCCTGAGGTCACTCAGCAGCCAATCATAGTTGATTTCTGTGAGATGGAGGGGAAAGGAGAGATTTTTAATGTAAGGTGTAAGGATTTGTTTTTGGAAGTCCAAGTAATTAACTGGGGGTAAGGAGGCTAGAGACTGCAGAAACTAGGATTGATCTACCACTAGCAGAGAAGAAGATTCTTTCATGCTTAATTTCTCATGTCCATTTGATGTTTCTAACCTTATTTCCTTTTTTTCTGGTACTGGGGCTTGAACTCAGGACCTCAAGTTTGCTAAGCAGGTGTTCTACCACTTAAGCCATGCCTCAGTTCTCTAACCTTATCACTTTAATATTAGCTCTAGTAGTCTGGGATCTTAAGCACTTGGACAGGGTGGTACACATTCATCTCATTAACAAATGTTTATTGAACACTGATGATGTACCAGTCCCAGGGACAAAAGAGAAAGGAAATGTATCCATATTCTGTGTCATCCCAGAACTGCTGTTTGCTTCATTTTAGTTAAAAAGTTTCTGAGTACCTTAGATAAGACATCTGGAACTTGACATGAAATTGGTAAATCCATATTCTTCTTGTATGAAGTCAAAAAAGTAGCAGAGGACTGAGGAGATCTAAGTAATCAAAACAAGAGAAAGTTAGAACCAGTTACTGTTTTGGAAAGCCAGGTCCTGGTTGGTTCAGAAAATGCAAGGGACATCTCTAGAGCTGCCTAACAATCCAATTCTGGAGGGCTCAGGCTGCTAAGAAGATCCCAAATGGAGACTTTGCCCTCCTAAGTCACTTTGGCTTCTCTGTCCCTTTTGTTGTGAAGTAACCAATGACAGCTCTAGATTGCCAGACAGTGAACAAATAAGGCAGGGAAAAGATTGTTCATAAAAGCAGAAGTGTAAGAAGTGAAGTGTGCCCTGAGTTTCTTTTTGAAAGAGTCTGTATTGATGTTTTTGATCTTTAACAGGTGCCATCCTTTCACACCTGCCTGATTCCTTTGAGTTGGTGTCCCTGCACACTTGGACAATCTACCTGTTTCTTCTCACAGAACATCTCCCAGTTAACCATTCTTATTCTGGAACATTTTTTTTGGTTAGAAAGTGACATAGGGATGTGACAGGGGCAACACAAGTTCTCTGTACAGGGTGACCTACCTCACTAGCCTTTGAGATTCATTTTACTACAGCCAAAGAGGCCTTGGCCTGCAAAGACCTGATTATCACAAACTGTGCGTGCAGCACTCTTGCCATCCAGGAAATGGAGACTGGAAATGCTGGTGGTTTTGCCAATAGCACCGGTCCTCTCTAATGAAGAAGGATTCCTTTGTTCATTGTTCATTGAAAGCAAAGGCATGTGAAGGGAGTTTGGTGTTCATGAAGCATTTATTGTTTCATTTCTCACCACTTCCCTGAGCCTTAGGAAACCAGAGGAGGTCGATCTGACTCCAGCTCCTCCATAGTCTTTTGTCTTTGTTATGGAAACAGACTTCCTTGAACTTGTCACAAAAAGGCCAACCAGGAGGGACCAGAGGCCAGTTTAGTACTGCTTCAACACCCAATAATCTCACACAAACAGGATCTCTGTAGCCTGAGGGGCTTTGGACGTGCATGAGTGTGACTTTAGCATGGTCAGGACAATCTGAGCGTCCTTCTCAAGAAAGTGTCTCTATAGAGGCACTTCCCACCACAGCCGGGTCTCACCTCCTCCAACCCTACACGTGTATTTCCAGAGCTCACAGTCAGGGGTATTCTCAGCAATTTCACTAAACGTTCCTTTATCGTTTTCATATGTTCTGCTAGAACTGCTTGCTCAAGGCTATGTAATACTTGGCGCACACTGAGCACTTGTCCCCAAGGTCTCTGGAAAGGGTTTTGCCAAAAATAAATAACTCAGAACTCAGAGCTTTGGACAGATGAAGCATTTCTAATCCTTATGAACTGTTGATACTTTCACCATTCTTTCCTTTCCAAATACTCTGTATTCCCGTCTTGTCCTCTGAGGGCTCAAGGTACCTCATAGGTGCTACCAGTCATCTTAGAATTCTGGTCAGGTAAGGAAGCTCCATTTCTCTGAACAGAGGCTGAGACTGCTACCCAAATCCTCCCAGCATGGAAATGAACAGCGCCTCACTGCCCACCTTAGGTAATTTCTCCTTGTCACTAGCCTACATTTGGTTAGTTGGAGGAAAAAAACTCCCCCCTCCCTTCCCAGCCAACTGTCAATAGACTGCTATCTTTGATACTTCAAGGCTTGGCTGTGAAAGTGAACAGGTGCTGTGAATGTCCAGTTGTGTTCTGGGCCTGCCTTTCTCAAGCCCTGTCTTGCTCCCTATTCCCCTCTTCCTACCAAAGGCTTGTAGGGAGCTACTTGGAAGGTGGGGAATGGAGGGTCATGTTTCTAGGTCAGCTTGGGCAAAAAATTAGCAAGACTCCATCTCAACCAACAAGCCAGGTTTGGTGACATAAACCTGCAATCCTAGCTATACAGGAGGCATAGGTAGGAGGATCACAGTCTGAGGACAGCCCTAGGCAAAAACATGAGATCCTATCTGAAAAATAACTAAAAAGCAAAAAAGGTCTGTGTGCGTGACACAGACAGGTAGAGAGCCTGCCTAGCAAGCATGAGACCCTAAGTTCAAACCCCAGTACTGAAAAAAATTAGAGAACCAGGGAGCTAGAGGCAAGAGAATCATTCCCAGGGATGTTTTGCTCCTGGCTACAGGTTTGATGGGTACAGGGGTAGTACAGATGTCAAACACTACTAATTTCACATTTAAAAAAATATCCAGATTTCTAGTTAGAAAACCCAGCAGATTTGACCAATGGACTCCCATATGACTGGAGTAGAGAGCAGGCTATACCCTTTGGTCAGGAGAGGCTCTCCCATTCACTAGAAACAAGTCTCCATCTTGTCAGCTCTATGCATTGCGCCTCTCATCTGACCACCATCAGCAGGTTGGTTTGTGCCCCATGTCTAATTAAAAGATCCTAAACTGTCATTACCCATGAAAATCCTTGAAGTACTAGAAACTCTTAATAAGGACAGTAAAATTTAGTGGCTTTTTATTTCCTAAACAAGCCTCTGAGTGTATTGAATCTCTGATTACTTGATTTAGATATATTCAAAGTTGTGTTAAAATAACAGAACTGAACAATAAAGCGCTTGTATATTTGGTCTGAAAATACACAAAACAGTCTGTTTACAGAGAATGTGGTGTTTTTAGCGGAGCAGACAAAACAAAGGTATATGTTACTTGAAGTGGGAATGTGGAGAGACTGATGGGATGTTATTCATGGAATCATGTATCTGTAGGCAGGAGGACACATGGTAGGTACCAACAGGAGGGAAAAATTCTTGTGCAGAATGTGATCTTTCTAGCAAGCCCTGTTACACATACCAGGGAACCAACCCAGTTTAGTCTATGATGGCCTAAGAAGTTACCTTTGGTCCTTCCTTTCCTCTAATTTCTGCCATTTACACCATTATTTCACTCCCATTGTTCCTCTACTTCTCCAGAGCAGGGTATATCACCACACCACTCTCCTCATCAAAAATGGGGGAGAAATGAGGAAACCATGTTATTTCAGTGGAAGATAAACTGCTCCCTATGCACTAATTCCTTCCAATATTGCAAACCAGAAATATGTGTTTTACATCAGTTTGGTTAGAAGGGGTGAGACTGATGAGATTAGAGGAGAATACCTGAAATGCAGGCAGCCGCTACTCTGTAAAGATGGGAGGTTATGACTTTAGATTGTTAAAATTTGAAAATTTCAAAGTAAAGCAGAGAGGAAAAGGGGGTGATGAGGAGGATGAAAGTATTTTGAGAGGTAGTATCTAGGGGCAAGCAAACATCTCTTATATTGTTGAGTCGTAGTGGTAGAGAGGAAGGTCATCTGGGGTCTCATCTCCTCCAGCCAGGCCTGTGTTCACTGTGTCTGAGAAACCCAGGATGTTTCTTTTTTTTGCAATTAGCATTTGACTTGGTTTCTCAACTAATCACAAGTACAGCCCTGATAATTACCCATCCCCCTTAAGAAAATATCTTCTATAAGAGTTTTCTTAAAACCTTTGCTCTCAGTGGCTAAGCCATTACCTTTTGGGGAGGCTGAGCACTAATGGCTTGTTGATGAGGCTAGCCTCACTAAACCAAGGAACGTTGTGAAATTTTGGAACAGAAACCTAAACAGAAATGGAAAGAGATCATTTTGCAGAATTTATCACATACTTGACCACTGCTATTATTATGATAACCAAAGTAAGGCAACAGCAGACATATAGCTATCAACACTTTACCAAACATTTTTATATTGGACTCTTTTAGCCATCCCATAAAGTAGCCAAGAGCCAATCAGTGTCTTCTCCATTTTATACATGAAGGACTGAAAGCTCAGAAGAGTGTGAATTGCCCTAAGTCACACAGTTAGTAAATGGGTTCATGTTTTCTGACTTTTGGTGTCTCTTACATCCTGTGTTCCAGGATACCCCCTTGCTTATCACTTCTATCTGTTTATACATACTCTAGTACTTCTATGAATTCAGCTGAATATCAGCAATCTGCTATCCTAAGCCTCTGGCTGTGTCAGCAGAGGCAGGGCCCTGCACCCTCGGCCCTTCTAGGAGACACAGTCTAGGAACCATGATTTGAAGCCATAGACAGCTGGTTTGTTTTTGTTTTTAATCTCTGTCCATCCACTTTCCAGTTGCCTGGCTTTAGACAAATTACACTCTTTTCCGATGACAACGTCACCATAAAGGCCAATGCATAAAAAAGCTCCTTGAGAGTTGTTTTTTGTTTGTTTTTCCCCTCTCCTCTGCCTAGTTCACTGCTGTGTCCTCAGCACCAGCACCATGGCTTGACACCTGTATGCAGGGATGCACCGGAAGTCCCCAGGAGACCTCAGCCACAGCGGCTGTCATCTCTCTTCCACCACCAGCCAGGCCTCTATCTCTGCCATCGCGTGCCTTACCCCGCCCTTTGGATGGCGATCCGCAGTCTTTCTAATTGAGGATGAGCTGTCCCTGGCGCAGAGGAGGGGAGCCGGCCTCCGGGAGAGGAGCGACCACGAGGGGGCAGCAGCGACCTCGCGGCGTCCCCGGGGGCGGGGAAGGGCGCTCTGGCCACCAAGTCTTGCCAGACCCGGAAGTGCTCGGCCTCAGTGGCAACCCCGGCGCCCCGGATGGGGAAGGAGGTGGGCGGCCGCCCTCCCCCGGCCGCGCACGCCTAGGAACTCGCGGCAGGTGAGTTCCGTGTGGGTGTCAGTGTTTCCGGCCTCCTTGTCCTCTGCCGTCCCTGCAGGCCCCAGGCTGGGTGAGGGGCGGCGGCGGGCGGGGGAGGTCCGGAGGGTGAGTGGGGCGCCCCTGGGGACATCCAACCCCACCCGACCTCGTCCTGCCCTGTTCCCCGCCTTGCAGGCGAGCGTTGCCCTTTTCCGGCGCCGACCCATGAGCCCCAGTGGCAAAGGCAGCCGTGAGGTCCCCGGGCTGGGGGTCCCCGCTGCAAAACCTTTCGCGGTTTCCGTGGAAGAAATAAGGTCGGGCAGATTTGCTGGATGACCTTGGTGTTTCTTACTTGGTGTTTCACTGTGTGAAAATGGGATGATTGTCGTCTTCGCTCCTCACGAGAGTTTCGCTGTTTTAAGTAGGATGGTAGAGCTCTTGAAAGGATGGTAAGCTCAGTTCATGGATGAAGCATCTTTCGTTTCTTTGAGTCCTTGGTTTTGGCTAACCTCCAGAGCTCATGCCTTTTTATATTGTGCAGTTTGTTCACTGTGGTCATTAGACCGATAACTGACAGATGCCTTTGAGAATCCAATAAAAGTCATGGATTCTGTCTCTATAAGTTTGCATAAATTGCATACATAGGCCTGAAGTGGCACAGACCTCAGGTATGTGAACCTTTGAGTTACAGGGTGATAATGATGGCAGGCACAGGCTTTGAGATCAGACTTTGGTTGAATCCTGCCTCCACCATTTACCATGCTGTTACCCTGAGCCTAAATTACTTAAGCAATTTGAATCTCAGCTGTTTACTAGTTAATGTAACTTGGGAGGTTGTGGAGATTACATGAAAGATACATTAAGCACTTAACACAAAGTAGACAGTGATAGCAACAGATACTGATTATTCTGGTAACTGTAATTTAAAAATCCGAAATACATCTTTAATGTCCCAAATGATATGGTTTCACCACATCTGTTTTATTTAGACTTTTAGTAAACTGAATTGGTTTGATTTTTAACTCAATCTACCATTGACCATTTACAATTTTCACATATTCACAAGTCTTTCTTTTCTAGGAACTTAGCTGTGTTGTCCTGCCTCAGGGAACAAACTCATCTATTGCAGGCCTAGCCTGGGTTGCTGCCTTTGTAAACAAGGGAAGATCTGTAGAATATCAGCATGGAATTTCCAGAGAGGTCTTATTTCAAAACTTCATAAAGAACAAGAAACACATGAACTTCTTCGAGGAAGATTGAATTGGACTGAATTTGAGGGAGAGGATAAGATAATGTGTGCCCAACCTGTAAGTAACACCAAGGAGGTCAAGTGGCAGAAGGTGTTATATGAGCGACAGCCCTTCCCTGACAACTATGTGGACCGGCGGTTCCTGGAAGAGCTCCAGAAAAACATCTATGCCCGGAAATACCAGTATTGGGCTGTAGTATTTGAGTCCAGTGTGGTAATACAGCAGCTGTGCAGCGTCTGTGTTTTTGTAGTTATCTGGTGGTACATGGATGAAGGTCTTCTGGCTCCCCAGTGGCTTTTTGGGACTGGCTTGGCATCTTCATTGATTGGGTATGTTTTGTTTGATCTCATTGATGGAGGTGATGGACGGAAGAAGAGTGGAAGGACCCGGTGGGCTGACCTAAAGAGTGCCCTCGTCTTCATTACTTTCACTTACGGTTTTTCACCAGTGTTGAAGACCCTGACAGAGTCTGTCAGCACTGACACTATCTATGCCATGTCAGTCTTTATGTTGTTAGGCCACCTCATCTTCTTTGACTATGGTGCCAATGCTGCCATTGTATCCAGCACACTGTCCTTGAACATGGCCATCTTTGCTTCAGTCTGCCTGGCCTCACGTCTTCCCCGGTCCCTGCACGCCTTCATCATGGTGACATTTGCCATCCAGATTTTTGCACTCTGGCCCATGTTACAGAAGAAACTGAAGGCATGTACTCCCCGCAGCTATGTGGGGGTCACACTGCTTTTTGCATTTTCAGCCTTTGGAGGTCTCCTGTCCATTAGTGGTGTGGGAGCCATACTCTTTGCCCTTCTGCTGGTTTCCATCTCATGTCTCTGCCCTTATTACCTCATTCGCCTGCAGCTTTTTAAGGAAAACATTCATGGGCCTTGGGATGAAGCGGAAATCAAAGAAGACTTGTCCAGGTTCCTCAGCTAAGTGAGGGACCTCCATTAAATTATTAAGGTGATAAAACTCACATCCTGAACCAGTATAACATCTGAAGGCAGAGTTTCATTCTGGAAGCAGCAGGCTGGCGTGGATGAGAGAACAGAGATCAGAAGCAAAAGGTTAACCAAAGTCTTGGGTGGTGAAGGTGCTTGTCCTTCCTGTTATTCGGTGGATGAAAAAGCTTTCTTGGTATCCTCTTAAATTATTGCCTCATTTATTATTTGCTGTGACAAATGAAGTGATATGGTTTCTATTTATTAAACGACAACAAAAAATAACAACACATCCTTCAAGTTGTCTCATGGTTTTTCTGAAAGCAGAAGGCAGACTCAGAAGGTCCATGAGAGTAAAGAGAGAATAAAAGTGTGTGTGTGTGTGCATGTGTTTGTGTGTGTAAAGTCACTTCTCTAGCTTTTCAGTGTACTAATGCAGGCTGTCAGTGTATCTAGAATCCAGGATGCTGTGTTCAGTTTTGTTTCCCAAGACTGCAGAAGTGGTCACTTAACTTCAACTCAGAGTTTTTACTTAGTTCTTAAACATGTACACAGTAAAGGAGAGTGATGTGTTTGTATAAGCAAGATGCTAGGGGAATTCAAAGAGGCTGAAGATAATCTAGAGCAATTAGGAAATACTTGGGAGAGGAGGTGGCATTTAAACTTAGTCTTGGAAGATAGGTGGGATTTAAGGAGGCAAAAGATGGGTTTTGGGCAATGTGACAAGGACCTTTGGGGGCCATTTCATTAATGTAAACAAATGTGTCACTGAAGGCAGCTGTGGAGCATAAGCTAGCCTGCCCTGTCCAATTAAGCAAATGTCACTGCTTCAACTGGTTATTTCTACTTTTTTTTCTTTTTTGGCAGTACTGGGTTTGAACTCAGGGCCCCATGCTTGCTAGGCAGGTGGCTCTACCACTTGAGCCACTCTGCCAGACCAGTTGTTTCTATTTATACTCAGAGTTTTGACCTCACTTAAGACCTTACAAATTCCAGATAAAATTCTAAATGAAATAACAGCTGTGAAACTGACTTTTAATACATATTCTGATATGTAAATTCTGTCTCAAATTTAATTGAGCCATAAAATATGTTTGCAGACAAAATTTGGCTTCCTATGGTGCCACATCTATTCTTTTTTTAGATTGTTCATTTACTGTTTTATTTTACAGTTTTGTTAGATACATACATATATTTACTGTGCATATATATATTTGCCTGCAGATAGAATTATGTATAAAAATTATAACCCCAAGAATGTAATCACTATTGGAGATTGTATTCAACTATGTTGAGCATCTATTTAAGTGAGGTAAGATTTTTTTTAAAGACAAAATAAGTTCCACCTCATTTTTATTAGAATTTCCTGGAAAATTTATAGTTGAGAAAATTCTGATTAAACTATTTCTTGTTAAAAATATTCTACCTGATCTGCTAAACTGGCTAGTGTGGATATTTTGAAATATCTGAGGTTTTAGCTTTATGGTTAATAAGTATTTTTGTTTATTGAGACAGTAATTTCATTTCTATCTTTATAATTGCTTTCTTTTTTTTCTTTCCCATTTGTTTTGGGGTATTTTTTGGTTGTTTGCTTTTTTTGCAGTACTGGGGCTTGAACTTGAGCCACTTCACCAGCCACCCCCCCGTTTTTTTTTTTGTTTTTGTTTTTTTTTTTTTTTTTTTGTGGTAGGTATTTTTGAGATAGGGTCTCACAAACTATTTGCCCAGGATGGCTTCGAACCAAGGTCCTCCTGATCTCTGCCTCCTGAGTAGCTAGGATTATGGGTGTGAGCCACTGGTGCCCACCATTTTTTTTTTTTTAATTGTGCTGGGTGTGGGTACATTGTAGCATTTACAAAGGTTCTTACAATGTATCAAATACATCATTCTTGAATTCCCCCCACCACACCCCCCACCACCCATTCCTGGAACAGTTTCAACAGGTATCATTTTTGCATTTACAACATGTGTATACATTGTTTGCACCGTATTCATCCTACCCCCTCCCACTGGTGCCAGCCACCCACTTTCCCCCTCCCTGGGCAGAACCTGTTCTGCCCTCCTGTTTCCGATTTTGTAGAAGAAAAAACATAATAGATAAAATGAGAAACATGACGTTTTGCTAGTTTGATATAAAGGTAGTTACACAAGGAGTTTCCTTGTGTTTTTCCCATGCCAATGTGTATTAGAGCTCCAGTTGATTTGCCTTGTCCAGTCCTCACTCCTCCCTAGTCCACTTCCCATTTTGGTCTGGCCAGTTTAAAATTTCTATATTTGTTCCTGTACACTGAACACATCAACCTCATTCAAGTTTTAGGTTTCCTTCACTTTCTCTATTCCTTCCCTGCACATTCTCCCCTTAGTGTGTGTCCCATGTCCAATAATATTACTGTATTTGTTTTGGGTCTATAATCCACATATGAGGGAGAACGTGATTTTTGGCCTTCTGAATCTAGCTAACTTCGCTTAAGATGATGTTCTCCAGTTCCATCCATTTACTTGTGAATGACAAAATTTCATTCTTCTTTGTGTCTGAGTAAAATTCCATTGTGTAATTTTCTAATCCATTTTCTTAATCCATTCGTCAGTAGTGGGGCATCTTGGCTGTTTCCATAGCTTGGCTATTGTGAATAGTGCTGCAATAAACATGGGTGTATAGGTACCTTTGTTGTAACCTGAGTCTCATTCTTTTGGGTATATCCCTAGGAGTGGTATTGCTGATCATATGGCAGATCTATTTCTAGTTTTTTAAAGAGCCTCCATACTGTTTTCCAATGTGGTTGTACTAGCTCACATTCCCACCAGCAGTGTATGAGGGTTCCTTTTCCCCCTCATCCTCACCAACATTTGGTGGTGGTGTTCTTGAGCCACATCTATTCTTAACACAGGAACAAAGATAGGAAAGTGATGGGGGTTTAAGGTTATAGAGTTTGGGGGAGGAAAATTGGAAAAAAGTCAGAATGGGAGGCTTTAATGATTCAGGGCCTATCAATATTCAATAACTTGGAATCTGTTGCAGGTAATGAGCAATTCAGCTTGTTGAAGGAGGTGGTAAATTGTCAAATCTTGAGGTAATTACTTAATTGCTTTGTGTCAGTTTTTGTAAAATGCAAGTAAAAGTACCTTTACCATTGTGACAAGCTGTGCACAAAGTGCTTTGAAGAATGCCTAATACAAAGCACAATATTAGTCTCGAGCATTCCTACTCCAAAAATCCAAAATTTTCTGAGCACCCTTTTGCCACAAATGGAAGGTCTACACTGAAACTGATGTGCAAGATTATTTTAAAATATTGCATAAAGTTGCTTTCAGACTATAAAGTACACATAAAAATGAATTTCATGTTTAGACTTGGGTTGCATTCCCAAGAATGTAAAGATTTCAAAATCTGGAAAAACAATTTCTGATCCCAAGCATTTTTAGAAAAGGGATGCCACCTGTATAATAATAATAATAATAATAATAATAATAATAATAATTATATGTAAGCAAACTTGAAGAAGGCAAAGCTACACAATGTATCAGATATCTCCCACAGTATCTGTTACCTCATGGAAATTCATGGGAGCAGTTTCCTTTAGTAAAGGAACCCCTGATCTCTCGAAATTAATTTCAAATTGGAAATTTCATCAGAGAAGTGGCATCCTAAGAACTATTTATTTTTCTGTACATAGATGTCTCAAAAATGTCTTGAACAGGATTTTGAACTAGTATCTTCATGTCCTCTCATGTTACTTTTCTGCTACTTGCTTGGAAAGATGAATATTGTGTTTATATGCTAAAAATGGGTGGCTTTCCATTATGTCCACTGGACTGCCTTCACAAACTCAAGAGAAAAGGGATTCAGCCTGACCTACACAGGTCAATCTGCCTACTGCCTGTGTTGAGCTGGCTAACCCATGCCTTGAAAGTGACCAGACTTGACTCACAATTATTCTGTAGTCCTGTCAGGTGGTGGTGCTTGAAGGTAGTAAAGAATTGTATAAAACTCTGTGTGTGTGTGTGTGTGTGTGTGTGTCCGTGTGTGTCTGTGTGTGTGTCCATGTGTGTCTGTGTGTGTGTGTTTTGAAAAAGTCTAACTGTGTAGCCCAGGACAGCCTCAAACTCACTATCTTCCGCTTCAGCCTCCCAAGTGCTGGGATTACAGGTATACACCATCACTCCTGGCTGGTTTTGCTTTTATGTTGTAATACTTTTGTCTTATTTGAGTGAGCTTCCTATTCTCAACTTTAGAGAACTAACATGGCAACTACATTAGTGTCGATGAATGGACTTATGTGTCCATTAATTATGTCATGAACTAACTAGTGAGAACAGGGGTGAAGTAAGTAGTAAGAATGGGACAGCTTAAGTTCGAGATACTTGAGATGCAGCATCTACAGCACCTCAATCCAAAATTCTGAGCATAATTTAGGATATTGAGAAATATAATCCAGTGTTTTTGTACTTGGAATTCTTTGTACAGAAGTGGTTGCTCCACAGCTAGGCTGTACTGGAATTAGAAGTAGGTCACAGGACAATTAGAATAATTCAAATGATAGAAATCAAAGTGTAGAAAGGCTACCTTATAAAAAATGGATTGTAAAATAGAGAAGGATCCAGTTGGAAGCTCAAAGAAGATATTTCATTGCCTATAAAATTACTGAGGGTATAGTTTAATGATAGAGCACTTCTCCAGCATGCATGAAGCCCTGGGTTTGATCTTCAGCACTGAAAAAAAAAATGCCAAGGGTAACAGCAAATGTTGATTTGTTCACTAAGTCATGACTTCTGGAAGACACTTTTTGAAATTTGAGCAGGGTAAGTTTAGGTCAAGTGAAAGCATAATTTTAAACATTTTCTGCATGTAATTTCAAGAAGTTATATATGCCAGGAATATAAATGGGTTTTTAAAAGGCTTAGGAAAAATCACAAATAAAAATGCTATAATTTTTTAAAAGAAATCCCAAGCCTTTCAGTGTTCCCATTAAGGATGGTGAGACTCACCCTATGGCATGCTTCATTGGGTTGCACCTAGCACAGAAATTCAGACCTAGAAAATGATTGACATGACCTGGTATGGCAGTTGTTGGGAAATTAATTCATTGATCTAGTCAGTTTCTTAAATTTAAGCCACTGAAAAAGTGCTAGTGGAATATTAATGATTTAGATGTCAAAATTATTACAGTGTGTGCGTAGGGGAGATGAGAGGTTACAGTAGCATTGTTAATTAACCTCAGCATGTCAAATACAGAAGAGCTGTTTGCTCTTCTCGCTCTGCACTCCTTCCTCCCATCTCTGCTTCTTATCTTTCTAAGTTATAGGGAAGGCTGGAGAGTGATGTTGCATGTGAGAGCAAGGAGAGAAGAATGGGGAGGCAGCTTTGCCTGTCTCTACTAAATGTCGCTGTTATGTTTGGTTTGGATCTTAACTATCCCTCAAAGGTCCAAATGCTAAAGGCATGGACCTACTATGAAGTGGTGGAACCTTTAGGAGGCAGGGCCTAGAGGGAGGAAGTTAGGTCACTGGGAGTGGGCCCTTGAAGGGGGTATTGGGACCTAGACCAGATTTTCTCTTCCTCCCTTCTCTTTCTCCTTCTCCTCTCCCTCCATCTTTCTGTCCCCCTCTCACTCTCTTCCTCCTTCTTTTCCTCTCTTCTCCTCTTCCCACTCTCCCTCTTCGCTCTATCCTGCTCTCTCTCCCTCCCCCCCTTCCTTCCCAGCCAACTTGAGGGGAGCACCTTTTCTGCACCACAGGCTCCCTGCCATGATGTACTTCACCACAAGCCCCAAAGCAACAGAAGCAACCAACCATAGACTAAAACCTCCAGAACTGTGAGCCAAAATAAATCTTTTCTCTTTTAAGTTGATTATCTCTTAGGTATTTTGTCAGTGTCAGCTGAGTGACACAGGTGCCAAAGATTGAAGTTGAGATGGATGAGATCAAGGAGAAGCAGAGATAAGGGGCTGCAGGTTTGTGCTAGGCTGCAGGTTTGTGCTGTGATACAGCT